TGGTGGACCCTGCTTCGGCAGGGGGTTGGGCTGGGTGACCCACAGAGGTCCCTTCCAACCCCGACCATTCTGTGATTCTGTGATTCTGTTTGGAATTGGGTGCAAAGGAGAGGAGCAGTTACAACCTTCCAAGGATCGAAGGGGCCACAACACCGTGGGAGGTGAGGGGAAAGCACAGCAAGAGGCTCAGTTTGCTTCCAAAGCAAGTTTTACACTTCTCAGCCCAAATATTCTGAGAGGGAGACAGAGCAGTGAGCCAGAAGTACCGGGAGATGCTGTGGACCATTGCTCATGGTGGGAAAGGAAGGTGGGAAAATAGTTCCCTTCGAGCAGGCTGAGCCCACCGTCATCACTGCCAGGCGCTTGGGGAATGGCACACACGTACCCCCAGACACTACCTTCCCTATCACTTATTAAAATGCAAATACAGATTAAATTGCTATAATTCTAAGCCAGGCCATCTCAGCCAGGCAGCTCTCCGGGCTCTTAGGGGCCGGGGTACATCGCAGCGCAGGCAGCTCGCCCTGCCCCAGCCACCGCACACCCCCAGGCTGCGCTGAGGTTTGGCGAGCGTTTCTGCCCCGCAACCGAGAAGCAGCGGATCTGCCCGCACGTAGCGGTGGTTGTTCTCTAGGGGGCAGCTCCCGCCTGCCGCAGAGACGGAGCAGAAGGAGGGCTGCCCGCTTTGCTGATCGCTCGGGCTTCTCCTCAGCTTCTGCTCAGTGTTACTCCAAAGGGCTCAGAAGCATCACAGAAAGGCGAGGGCAGATTTCAGACCAGCTGTTTCCTGAAACAGCCTGAAAAAGGGGTCGCATTCCTCAGGTTCACCTGCAGCACCCAGGTATTCCACCTGCTAAAGGTGTCTTTGTACAAACTCCAAGCCTTTAATGTTCATTATTTTTCTATATTTTGGGGAATTCTGTGTGCTTGCTTGCTTATCCCAGCTTCTCAAAACTCCCTCAGTCAACACCTTTGGAAACTCCTCAGCTGATTGCAAATGTGAGCAGCCCTGTTTATAATATCTTCTGTTACAGAACATCTTTTTGTTACCAAAAGATTACAGATCGAAAGGGTTTAATAACGTACAGCAGATCCTTGCCCCTCACTACAGAAAAAGTTAAAAGCAAAGCGGCTGCAGCATCCTCAGGCCTAAAGCCCCCGAAAGCAGCTGCCGGCTGTGAGCAGGAGTCAGTGCACGGGCGCGAGGACTCAGTCCCTGCCCCGGCCCAAGCAGCATCGCTGAGAGACGCATCCTGAGCACAGCACCGGGAGCTGCTTGCTTTCAGCTTCAGCCTATTGATAACATCTTGCTGCTTCTCTCCAGCAGCTTTAAAGCTATTTGACATTAAGCCAGGGGATGTTTTCCAGGTGGGTGAGTGTTAAAAGGAGCAACGTTTTTCCAAATGGTATCTGGTGTGAAAATCATTCAATAAATGGATTTAGTAGGCATCAGTATTTGCATAATGGCTTGGAGGAACATACAGCCTATGCAGCGGTTTGCATCTCGTGGATCTGGTTATTAAATCCTTGTGCAGAATAAGATGGTGGTTGAACCTCTTGTCAGCAGCTTCCCCTGGGGCCAGTGATCCAGACAGAGGTGGGAGCAGGTAAGGTGGACAGAGCCTGTCCTGCCCTCTCCTCTCCCACCTCCCGAGCCGAGGAGCGGAACAGACTCCCTGGCGTTACCAAGAGATAGTGAAGGTTACACAGGAGAAAGTACAGAGGCAGCTTTGTTGGTTTTTCTTATCTTTCAGTGTGCCCGTTTAGCATATTTAAACACTCATTTTAGCGACTCATTTTAATCAATGCTGCCTCAGGTTGTTGTTTGAAAAGAGCTTGCAGATGCCAAATGCTATTTGGTCTCCTAGCAGCTTGGTTGGGAAATGAGGGGGCCTGGACACCAGAGAACTGAGAGCAGTTTGGTACGAAAATCCTGCCCTTTGAGAGCATGATTCAGGAGCTTCATCAGAGAGGTGAACCGAAGCAGGGCTGGAAAGTGCAGCCACGACAATCACCTCCCATGTGGTTGTGGCTACGAGAACCTTTCACACAGCACTGGAAAAGGTAAATACCTGCTCTGGAAACTGGAGAAGTTACACAAACAGAGGATAACGTGGCCATAGTTACCATGCAGACTTGTATTTTCTAGTGGGGACCACCCGAAACATACCCAGGCAAAGAGCTTAAAGCATCACCCAGTCTCACATTTTCATATTACACTTACAAGACTGTTCAAAGTGAAATGTATCCCTGACTCAACAGCAAAGATTTCCCTGATCAAATCTGGTAAAACCCACCTGCCACTTCTGCACTTCGTCAGACATTTTCTATGAAACACCGTATCTAAAAATCAGGTATAGATTTAGAATAGAAACTGGACCATGCAGGAAATATTTAGGGCAGGCCCTCAGCTGGCATAGGCTGATGGGGATATTTGCACAGCTCTGCGCTGACGTGCTCCAGCTGAGACTCTGGCTCTCCGCTGACCCCTTCCAAACAGTCCTTGCCGAGCATATGTCTTCTGGCCCGGTACGGGGACTTCCTCGCAGCTCGCTGCCCGAGGCAGAGCTGTTGGCCAGCAGACAGCAAGGTGAGGCTGCACGGGCACGGGCTGCCTGGGCGCTCCCGGGGCAGGGTACAGAACCTCCTACGCCGCTGCTGGGTGCGGCTGGCACTAACGCTGACGATCAGTGATTTCCCTTTTCTTGGTGGCCAGAAATAATTCCTTACTGTGAGCTCCCTTGATGATGCTTCTTTTATTAACTGAAATATTAATTGTCACCTATCATGGAACAAATTAGACTATTTTTCTTTAGAGCTGCATTATCTTAAAGTTGTCTAAGCCCTGCCTCTGCAATAAAATAAAACAATCAAAGCTGAGCAAAGTTTTTAACAATAAAGACTCTGACACGTTATACTTAATGTCAATGCTTCTATGGAAAAAGGAAGAGATATAATTTAGGATGATTACTGATACCATTCAGTACTCTGAAATAGCTCGTCGAAGCCCTCCTGCTCTGGCAATGTTGCTCTTCATCTACAGAGTTACCTAGCAGGGAACTCCCTCGTGTGTTTACTCTGCTCTTCGCTGATCGTGCTGGGGAGAGCCACAGCCCTCCGAAAGCCGGGGAAAATCTGGCTCCCCTCCCTACGGCACCGGCACCCCTGAGGCACCCCTGACCATGCTGCTGCACACTGCTCCGCTGTCCTTCCCGCTCCTTCTCCCCACTCACTCACACGTTCCCATCTGCACATAACACAAGGCACCTAATCACCTCTGTGAAGGGCTACATAAGGGCCCAAGGATCGTTAATGAAGCGATGGACGTTTGCCCCGAGAACAAAAAGCTGCAGTTGCCAGCTAAGATTGAAGGTTTGTGCAGCACTGTCATAAAAATTCATTACATCAGGGCAAGATCCAGCCCTCACACTTAGAAATTATGATGAATCAACAACTTTCTGTTTTCTTTTCAGGCCACAGAAAAGCAGTCAATCTTGCCAGGCCGCTATAGGTGCCTTTGCACCCCTCTGCTCCCCCATGCCTGCCTAAGTCACGCTGCAGAGATGCAGACGATCGATGAGGTGCTACGGGCTCCACCTTCAGCTGGTATTCGCTCCAGAGGCGCTCGCACCTTTAAACTGCAATAATTCACAGCAATATAGGACGTCGTCTCATCTGCCGGGAAACAATCAGCTTCATGGCTGGGTTACTACAAGTAGAACAATTTCTTCAGATATTAATATGTTCTTTTTTTACAATACCTTGTACATTGTCAGTGCCCTTGCACATTGTTCTTGCTTGCATTGAGGCGTTGCTCTGAGGTTAGAGGCTTTAGGAAGTTTACCAGAACACTAATCATAAATGTTTCTCGAATCAGATATGTCACTAATTTGACTGCTCAAGTTGCTGTCGCTTTCCTATTTTAATGATTTATGAACGAGATAAGATAGTAATCACATCCTGCAGCTACTCAGCTTCTCTATATAAGCAGCTTAGCATCTGCCAAGAGAGAAGAGCTTGAACTCCAAGCCCATTTCAGATAAAAAGGGCTGAGCTCACAAATACACCACCTTTAAAATGAATCTTCACTTGTTCTTGTTACTATTCAGCTCTGGGGCGTCCAGCTACTTTCTTCCTCTGAAGCCACTGCTGCATCTGCAGAACACGACTAAACATGCCATAATCGACGAAATGCTTTGCTTACTCGAAGCTGAAAATGAGTCCATCAACGTAAATCATTTTCCACTTCCCCCCCCCCAGCTTTGCTCTTTGAGATGATTTCCAATTGGTAACTAACAGATTTCTACCGTTTTCAGGTGCAGTTCTCCAAACCGCTTCACGTTAAGGTAAGAAGCTGTTGTTCACTATTCTGTTATCAGTCAGGGTCTCCAAAGGGAACTAAAGTGTCACCTCTGGTGCAGCGCTCTGAGGACATGTAAAGGCAAGGTGCAAAATGCTGCCTGAGACGGGACTGCCGGCCGGGGAGGGAGCTCCTGGGCTCAGCCCCATTCCTGTCCACGTCGAGGTACTTCTTGCTGTCCTGAAATACCAACCCGATGTGGTATTTTTAAAAGATTACGTGAATGTGGCTAATAACCTATTCTAATTGTGAACAAAGATCAATAGTATGCCCTACCTCAGTTTTTGTTAGTTCTTTTTAATGCTTTTCCAGAGAAATTTCTGTTAGTGATTGTAAAGCCTGGTCTCCAAACAACTGGCAATGTAAAGAGAAATGGTTAGAGCAGCTCTCTGTAAGTGCCCTACTTCCAAGGCAAAGACATAAAAAAAACCCACGCTGTGATTTAGATGGAATTAAATCTAATTCCCAGTGTTGTCACATTCACCATTGACAGAACCAGGACCGGTTTTATTGCAAAGTTTCCAATCATAATCGTTATAAAGACTGTACTTAATAACATGACTTCTTAAAAGAAGGTATAAAAAGGAAATCAGATAAAAGAAGTTAAGATTTCCAGGGAAAAATAACAGTTGGCATATTCAATATGATTTATCAACAGTTCTTTTAAGAATGAAAAGCTTTCTGCTTGTAAACTAGAATATTATTTACTTTCCCTTTTCCTCCTAGAATCAAAACTGTGCACATACAAACACCGAAAAATTTATTCACGAACTAAAAAAGATATCCTCATGCAAGTGTATGAAGACCGTTGAAAGAGACATGAGAAAACTACAAGAAAAGTGTTCCATTTTGAAGGTAAGCTTTTACTATTTATTTGATTTCAGTTCCAAACATCTTCTTGCCGTTCTGTTTATCCTGGTTTTTCACACCAGCTGATTTTGTTCACCCCCTGGCAGCTCGCTCGGCCCCACGCCGAGCAGCCCAGCAGCAGGAAAGCCTCGGCCGCTTCTCCAGCCGGGCAACGCTGCTGCAGCTCCTGCCTGCACCGCTGCCTTCACCTCCACTTCTGCCCAGGCTGGAGGATAAGGCGTGATTCTCTAACTGAATCTACAGATATGCTGATAAAATATCAGGAACTGTCCTCTTGATTTAACAGAAACTACCAAGCTTCCCTGACAGTTAATTTCCCCAAAGGAATTAAAGAAACATAGTGGAAGTTGTTCAGGAAGACTTCACCTGTCACTTAACTTCTTGCTCACTTTTTGGTAAATTCTAATTCAAAGTTTTGAGATTTGATAGCTAACAAATTGTTCCTCCTTTTTAATTTTGGACCTGCTTCTTCCCTCTGAGGGTGACGGAGCCCTGGCCCAGGCTGCCCAGAGGGGCTGTGGAGTCTCCTTCTCTGGAGATATTCCA